ACCGATTATGGTTGCTCCCCCTCAAGGTGGTGCTGAATTTCTTTCACAGAAAGAATACAATTAACGTTCCAACATAGGATATCATTTAGATTAGGATAAGAATATGTAAAAGTAGACTGTGCTTGAACATTTGTTGGATTACCGAATGAGATTTTCTTCAGTATTATATATCATCGCTTGAACGGTTCTTACTTTGAAAAGCTCTTCAGTATGAAACTGTTTCAATTCGTGCTATCAGAAGCGTTCAGGAACGATAAATTAGTGTGGAAGGAAATCGCCTGTATTAAGAAATATTCTACTGATTCACGAGATTTCTGACTTCATGCATTTGAGTAACGAATTTTGTGTGTGCAACCTTATTTCGGCTCGGTTTAATTGGTAGAAATTATTGGTTGAATGGGAAGATTGCAGGTTTGAATTTACCACCGCAACGATACGGTGGTGGCGGCGGTCATGATCCAAGATCACCGAACGGTAGACTGCGGCTGGAGGCGTTGCAACATGAGCAACAACCCCAGCCTGGCTATGGTAGTGATGGCTCGGAAACATTGAGTATTCAGTCAGCGCAAAGTGCCTCATCAAGGTTATTCGCTTCGATTTCGAGGGATTTCGATCGATTTCAATAGATCATCCGATAAAAATTTCAACAGAAACAATCCTGATACAACATTGTTTTTAAAACCCGTTGATTTAGTAACAGCTTGCCGTGTTGTTGTTATAGTGAAGTCAAATAACTAATAGAATAAGTAATCATTCGTCATTTGTGCTTCGTCTGATGAGATTGCTGAGCACATAATTTGCTAGAGTTGAGAGTATAGCAGTGCTTTTCCGCTGGGATACTTTTGGAAATCCGAGTGATACACCCTTTGGATTGTCTGAGTTGGATAAGCATACACTTGCTGAATATCTGTCCTTAACAAGGCGATATCGAGCAATTGNTTGTTTGACAATTGCAGACGAGCTCATTCACAGCGACGAGTGCCGAACGGTGGTGATTCGGAGCAACAGCGTCATCTGTCTCAACAAGGTACGGTCGATGCGAACGAAGAGGAATACGCTGAAGAGGGTGCCATAAGCGACTCACTTATGACAAAAGCTAACGCAGCGGGCATTAAGGACCGTAAGAAGAGTCTGATGACGAGGCTAATCCCAGGACGAAATGCACCGATGGGTAGGTAACCCAACATCTACTTGTTGATATATGCGTGCTCTTTTGTATAATGATAACTGTTTGAGTCGGCATGAATATACACACAGAGCTTAGCGTTTGATAACCATGATGTCAGATTACGGATTTTTTCTCAGATTGCTCAGTCCGTCATCTAATTGAATTCAGATCACAGAAGGACGGGTTTTGCAAGGTCTGAAGAAGTTGGTGTACCGGAAGCTTTGGCGATACCGTCGGATCGCTTTCAAGGGTCATTCCTGAAGCAAACCTCAAAAGAGTCAACAGACTCATCGCATAGTGACAAGTTGGTTCACTTGAATTTCAGTTTCTCTTCTTATACTGTTCTTTCATTGCTTGAAAGTGTTTTATGGTGTTATTTGAAATCAATATTCACAATTCATGATGGTTTCACATATTCTTAACAATTTCTTAAAGTACTCAGCTGCACTATNTAATTATGTTTATTCAATTGAATTTGGATCTGAAGAGTGATTCAGTCGTCAGTTTGGAACTCGGAAATAAAATATTCTCATTTGTAGTGAACGTTTCAGTTGGGGACCAATTGTGCCGGAAGGACCACTCGGAACATTCGTTGATAACCTTGGACCTGGTCAAGTAAGTTCTGTTGCATTCAAATGATTGAAGTTTCCTACTGTTAGATTTGAGATTAGACAGTGAATTTTACTGGAATTAGATTTGTATCTCCTCTGAGACAAAATTTTATTATTCCCATTGGCAATATTAGAAAATTGTCATATAGAAGCAGAGCTGCGAGGCGTTTAAGGATATTTTTTAAAAAATAATTTCGAATCATTCATAACTGAAACGAATCGTATCGATGAAACAATTGATTTTGTTTGTGAATTGAGTTCAGATTTAATTGCAGGTTGTTGGTCGACAGGTTCTTGCAAGTCCGGTGCTCGGTGAAATTCAAGTGGGTATTGCTGCGGGCAGAACGGGTATCGATGTTGAGATAATTCGTGCGAAAAATTTGGTTGCAAAACCCGGTGTGAAAATTAATCCAGGTCGGTTTTCGTTGAATCTATCTGCTGGCTTCACGAATTTCATCTCATAATTGTTAAATTCTTATTTCCGATGGATTCTGATGTTATTACATGTAAACGTAAACGTTTTCACTGTTGATGATTTTCAGCTCCTTACGTGAAAGTGTATTTGATAGAAGGTAAACAGTGTATCGCGAAAGCGAAAACG